TATCTTTTGAATTTGGTTGTATTTTTTGCCGTATGAATTTTGTCTTTTATTTAATTAATATATCTAACTTTTCCTTGATAAATTCTGAACTCTGTCTCATTTAAAAAAAAAATAAGTTGGTAAAAGATTTACTCCAACTGTAGGTTATAGAGTCTCCTAGATTTTGTTCTAAAATTGCACTTTTTTTTTTTAACATTTAAATCTTTAATTCCCCTAAAACTTGTGTGTATATGTTTTACATACTGATGGCTCAACAGTCATACCACCACTAGCATTGGCTAGATTGGGAATAAACATGTAAAGTGCCTGGAATTATTAAGTATTTAATAAGTAAATGTTAGCTCTAAGGTTGTTTTGATAGTTATTACTGTTATATGTATAGAATGGTGTTTCTGAAATGGTGGTCAGGATATTAAAATCAGCCAGGATGCCTGTTAAAAATGCAGGTTCCTTGAAAAAATGCAGGTTCATTGAAACCCTCCCAGACCTCTTCAACTAGAATTTCTTAGATACAACCAAGAATTCTATATTCAGACAATTTCTCAGGTGATTGTTAGACCTATTAGCGTTTGGGAAACACTATATTAGATGTAATTTATAGAGCCAACAAAAAGAAAGATTGTAACCCATCAACTTTTTTTTTCATGAGTAAAATTGTCTGAAAGCCATTAGATCCTTGTTACACAGTGTACAACAGAATTAATTAGAATTAAATTTTAATAACAATTACTAGAACACAATAGAATTGTATATTTGGCCAGATTTCTGAAAGAAGGATGCCTTTTAAACTTAGAAATATAAGAAGAACAGGCAAAGTTAGCATATGTAATTGATTTTATATTAAATCTCTTCTCGCAAACTGGGGCAAATAAGACAGACAGAGGTTAATATTGTTAATATTTAAAATACTTGTAAGTATTGATAGAAAAGCCACTTGAGACTCACCTAATGGGCACAGTGGTTAAAAATCCGCCTGCCAATGCAGGGGACATGGGTTCGAGCCCTGGTCCAGGAAGATCCCACATGCCACGGAGCAACTAAGCCCGTGCGCCACAACTACTGAGCCTGTGCTCTAGAGCCCACATGCCACAACTGCTGAAGCCCGCGCTCCGCAACAAGAGAAGCCACTGCAATGAGAAGCCCGCGCACGTCAACTAGAGAAAGCCGGCACGTAGCAACGAAGACCCAACACAGCCAAAAATAAATAATAAATTAATTTTAAAAAAATACATTAAAAAAAAAAGACTTACCTAATGAATGGACAAAGACTTGATAAAACATTTCACAAAAGAGGATATATATATAAAACAACTACCACAATAGCCTTAGAGCTAACATTTATTTGGTACTTAATAGCTCCAGGCCCTTTATATATCTCTTAAACTACCCAGCTTTTTTTCCCTATTTTATAGCTTAAGAAACAGCCATAGTGAAGTTAAATAAATAATAGTAAAGAAGTGTTAGAGCCAGGATTTGAACATTTGACTCCAGGGGTATAACACTAAAGCTAAGAGTATATGAGTGTGTCTGTATAAATGAATTAAATTGTGTGCATGAATGTATTAGTTTCCTAGGGCTCCTAACAAAGTACCAAAAACTTGGTGTCTTAAAAAAACAGAAATTTATTCTCTGACAGTTCTGAAGGCCAGAAGTCAAAGTGTTGACAGGGCCATGTTACCTCTGTAGATTCCAGGGAAGAATTCTTCTTTGCTTCTTCCTAGTGTCCTGGCAATCTTTGGCATTCCTTGAGTTGTAGCTGTATCACTTTACTTTCTACCTTCATTGTTATGTTGCCTTTTTCCCTGTATTCGCTCTTCGTGTCTAAATGTTTCTCCTTATAAGGACACCAGTCATTGGATATAGGACCCACCTTAATCTATCCTAATTTGATTGCACCTGCAAAGACTGTATTTCCAAATAAGGTCGCATTTTTAGTTTCTGTGTGGGCATGAGTTTTGGAAGACATGGACCCTCACCGTTCAAACCTGCCTTGTTCAAGGCTCAACTCTATAAATTATTTTGTTGTAGTTTACTACTCTGTTTAATAAACTTTCTAGTTGCTCTGTGACCTTGGTTAGTTGATCATTGCAGAACACTTAGTTAGTATCTAGTGCTGCTTTCCCTAAAGATTAAGCTATAAGATGAGGGATCTGGCTTTTCTAAACCTGGTTAGTGGTTCTATGTAAGTTTTTTCAGTTATTTTATCTTTATCTTTTTTTAACTTAAGTTCTTATATGTCTATTAAATCAAATATTGTAATAGACATGAATATGTGTTGGTATTATTAGGAGGCTCTGCCAACTTATGTGTCTAATAATTGTGCTGTCTCAGCTAGTTTGAGGGGCAAACGTACTATTCTGGTATTTCTTACTGATTTTTTTTAAATTCCAATTTCCTAGATAAACTAAGTCCTTAACAGAGTACTCATTCACTGTGTATTTTCACCATAATGCCACAATGTGGCGCTGTTGTCTTTGGCTGAATATTTACAAAGTCATCTTTTTCTGTTGCTGTCAATCTCATTTTGTGGGATATGATGCTCTCAAAAGTATATGAAAACACACTCATATCGGATATTTTTAAGCTGTACATGATCAGTTATTCTTTTCCAGTGGTTGTGCTAGATTGCTTTTTATGTTAAATGAGTTTTTTTTATTAGTGTGAATATTTAAATTTTTTCCTCGATTGCCCCATCATATTTAGGTAAAAATCAGGGGGTTTCTTGAAGGTTATGGAATTATAACTTGAAGAAACCAACAAACATAATGACAGACACTATAGATGACAACAGGCATATCTTTTTAAATTTTAGGCTTTTGGGATAGTATTCTGTTAAAACTACAATTCCACTCAAAATATATAATGCTGTCTTCCAAAATCCAAGGTAGCTGTTCTTCTCATTGTTATTATTTACACTATTTGTACCGGAATATATTCAAGAGGAAACAGTTTACAATTTATGTAGGTATAGTGCTCCCAGTGTTTAAAATCTCCAGATTTACTTTTATAACTTTTGCAAGCTTGCCTTCTTTACTTCCTTTAGTGTTTTATCTGTCAAGCCAGTATGTACTAGTGATGCATTGCATTTTAATAAGACAGTCTTTATTTAAGGGGCTTGAGGAATAAGCACCAGACTATCAAAGGGGGTTCATAGACCCAAAAGGGTAAGAATCTCCTGCCCTGCCCTGGGACTCCTAAGGTCCCAGTTTAATATTTCAGTGCTGTTGCGTGAAATGACTTTACAGCTTTGCAGGGCTTTTAGGAAATAATAGCCTTTTAACATTAATATGAACAGATACAAACAATAAACATTAGTTGATTAATAAAAATGGATTGTAAAGTTATCTTTCTTACGAATAGTAGAGGACTAAAGAGTAGACAGATTAATTAAATGAGTCTGTTGAACTTGAAAACAAACAAGGAAGTGAAGAAGTGAAGTGAAGTACCACATATCACTGGAATGTCATTAGAAATATTTCCTAGGTAAACAAGAGGAGACTGTTTTGACCATTTTGAAGTAGGGATGGTGGGGGAATTGTAGACAATTTTGTGGGAGAGCTCGTTTTTAATATTTTCTACCTTGAGGTAACTATGGAAAAGGTACTTGGTTACTGTAGGAGAAACTTTAAACTCTCTATGAACATAAGGACCCATGTCTGTTTTGGTTATCATGATATTCCTGGCATCGAGCACTTGGGTATTTTTAGAGTGAATGATATAGTTGTCGTTCTAAATGTTGAATTCTCATGGGGTTAGTTAGTTGTTAAATGCCAGTAAAGCATTAAGTAGGGGAATTGACATATTTCTTCTTTCCAGACATGCTATGGTTGCAGCCAGTTGGGAATGTCAGATTTTGGAGTTGAGTATTTTAGAAATGGGAGTTGCGGAGTAGACAAGCTATGTTAACAGAATCTGCAGAGGGACTACTTTCAAGAGGCTTACTGGAAGTAATGCAATCATGAACTAAGGATACAGGGCAATAGAGCATTTAGGAGTAATTTACCACATAATAGTTAATGTACATTTATTCATATAGTAAACATTTGTGATTCACCTACCTTGTTGCCAGACTTTCTGATTGACCAATTAGGCTGTAATTGTGTGAGGCTAAGAATCATGACTGATTTGTTTTTAACCATTAGGTCAATTCATATTGGTATAGTATTTGTACACATTCTACATACTTGTAGAATAAGTAAATGAATGATGGTAGAAGGTTTCTGTTTAGTAGTAAAGATAGACAAACACATAATTATAGTATTTTGAAAAAATATAATATGAAAGACATACCATATATTTTAATTTGTGTCTTAGCTCTTAGTTCTGGGTGTCAGATCCTTTGAGCTCTATTTATTTTTAGGATGCTATGTAAAATTTTATTGTCTATGGAACAGTGGAGCTAAGGATATACTTGAGTTTTTTTAAAAACTGAGCCAATAGAACAGAAATTAAAATCTTTTTTTATTTGGAAAAGTCATATTAGAAAACATGTTTAAAAACAGTTATTGTGAAGGAAGTAAGTGTATATTAACTTTCCAGTCATGTTAATAACTTAGGATAAAAGAACACTCCTTAGCTTTCTACCAGTTCCCCCAAAATTATAGTAAAGAAATTGTTCCCTGATTTTCCTGTGAAATGGCAAAGCAAAATTTTAAACCCCAGCATACTATTGCTCTATTTTAAGAGTACTTGTTTTGGATTTCTGTTATTCTCTCATATATAGGAAATTTCCCCTAGTTATTTAAGATTTATAATAGCTTGGCTGCTAAATTTTATCAAATTTTTGGTGAGCATCTATATATAACCATATGTTTTTTTCTCCTTAATTATTTAATAATTCACAGAATTTCACTGTTCTGTTAAGCTACCCTTCTCTCAACTTATTTTGATTTGCTGATATTTTGTTTAGGATTATTGTGACTGTATTCAAAAGTAAAGTTGGACTATAGTTTTCTTTTATGCGCTAATAATTTTGGTAATTCTGTTTCCTCAATTGACAGGTCGTGGTTCAATTCCAGAATTTTTTCATATTATGAAAAGAAAGTTTACCAACAAAGAATGGGAAACAATCAGAAGCTTTAAGGATGAATGGACTCAGCTGGATATGTTTTATAGGAACTGGGTATAATTTCTTTCTAGTTTTGAGAATAAGCCCCTGTGTTGATTTCATTATCTTTGCTAAAAACAGGAGCAAAAGTCCTGTGGTAAACCTGTAGTTCATACAGTGTTTGAAGTAAATAAGTCATTACTTGGGAACTTCATGATTTTTATGTACACATTATTATATTCTAATGACATTTAAGAAAATTTAACATATATTTAATGCTCAACTAGAAGATACTCTTAAAGCTAAAAACAAGACAGTTTATCAGTATTTATAAATAAGGTTTTCTGTCTTAAAGGATCTCATACACATGAGACCTTATTTAACATATAATATTTATTATGTGCCAGAAAACATTATTGTAAGCCCTTCATAAGTTAGTTAATTATCATAACAACCCCACTAGTAAGGTACTACTATTATTACATGTTATACATGAGAGAATGGAGGCAAAGGGAGCTTAAATGATTTGTCTTAAGTTCTCACAACTGGTTTGTTTCCATGCTACTATTAGGGTAAAAATAAATGGCTTATAGCTGTAAAGTAGTAAAGAATTAAAAATCCATATGTTTTGGGGACAGTAGATTTTATGAACAATTTACTAAAGCTCTAAGAGAAAATGTCTGTCTGTATCTTAGGCACTGAAAGAAAGCTTCATAAAAGCAATAGGTGTTGGATTAGGATTTGAATTGCAGCGGCTTGAATTTGATATATCCCCATTAAACCTGGATATAGGCCAAGTTTATAAAGAAACACGTTTGTTTCTGGATGGGGAAGAAGAAAAAGAATGGGCATTTGAGGTAAGAAATTTATCAGAATTGCTATAACTATAAGCATTTTCTTATTTTGTGCATGTGAGCATACTCTTAACTTGGGGAGGCTAGTCATTGAAACTAGACACATTTGAAATCCAGTCTGTGTGCTCTGAAGGTAAAGTCAGGGATACTGAGCACAATAACATTTAAGCTGATACTTGAAAGATAAGTCATATTGCATTAAGTAAAAGAGAAGGGAAAAGAGGCCCTGGAATAAAACAGCTTTGTGTGTATGAACAACTAAAGGATGCCATTTTGCCAGTGTACTGTGTTGAGGGGATTTGAGAGAGATGCTATGTTAGGCTGATGGTATCATGTAGGGCATTATGGGCTGGTTAATATTTTGGTCTCTTTCTTTATTTGGTTTTTGTCACTAGCAATTCTTGGTTGCTAGTGAGAAAAACCTAACACAAATTCATTTTAGCCAAAAACACATTATTGTAGGTTACTAGAGTACTTCATATAACCAGGTTTCAGAATTGGCTAGAATTAGGGACTGGAAAACTCAGAACTCTTTTTATCTTTTACTTTTGCCTTCCTGGCTTTAGTTTTCTCCCACCCACATTTCTCATTCTGTACACCAGCTTTCTTAACTTTATCTGGTCTGTGTGGCAGGAAACATGACTGCCTACCAATCTTATGTGTAACAATTTGTAGTTTAAAAACCCTCAGAGATTGGTGAACTCCCTTTCTGTTCAAGCCCTATAAGCCCTGGAGAAAGGCTTAGGTTGGGTGTTAGGTGCTTATCTCTTGACCAATCATTGTAGCCAAGGAAGTGTGTTACAACTTGTATCAAGTGTCCAGAGCCCAGCAAATGGATTGTATTAAAATGTGGTTGTTCCCATAGTCATCAGAATTGTGTACAGAGAAAGTCAGTATCCAGAATAAAGAATTCATGATGAATGGATAAAATAGAAGGTGTTTACTAATTTTCTCAAGGGAATTTAACAAGGTTTAAATAGAGAGTGGTGAGATCAGAATTGTATTTTAAAACCATGTTCTGTCTATGATGGTATATGGAGGTTAAGGAAGTGAGGTGATAAAGATGTTATGATCAATTCTGTGACTTATATGACCATCTGTTGAGATAACTGAATACTAGAGAACAAGTGGGATTTAAGTTTGAGATACCATAAAAACATCTAAGTGAAGTTGTCAAGCAGGCGAATAGAATGAAAGGCTGGGCTAAAGGGAAAACTTCATAATCATTAACACGTGGATGGTAGTTGAAGCCATGGGATTTACAGTTGCAGCAATGAGATTACCTAAGGTAGAATTGAGAAAGACCAAGGACAGAGTCCTGAGAATACTTTTTAAGGTGGAGTGGGGAGGAGAATGAGAAAGAATGACCAAAATGGTAAGAAGTAAAATACGAAAGTAGTGTTAGGAGCATCCAAGGGCAGAAAGTATCTTGAGAAAGAGAGTTGTGTCAAAACTGCTAACATACCATGTAAGGTAGGGATTCTATGAATTAAAAAGTATATTATATTAGGATACTGTATTTTTTAATACATTTTTTTAAAAAAATAATTCATGCTGAAAGGGGCAAACGTCAGCCATTTCATTCATGGGGAAATCCTTTGTGGTGCCAGATGGAGTAGGCCTAGTAGCAGGGTGAGGAGGGAAGAGTCAGTGATTGGGCCAGCTGTGCTTAAACGTTTTGGGTGACAAAGATGTCTGAGTTCCTGTGGACCAAATAGATGCTGTGGAAAATGGGCCTGAAGTGTCTTGAAAGGACCCTACCCAAGAGGAATTCCAAAAAGAGGCATTGTGCATTCTACTGTGTATTAATTGATGAGGGTAAGAATTACAAGAAGTCAGCTGTTAAATGCACTGCTAGCTCCAGGCAGTGGTACGGGACAAAGGAACTGGAAGTAGTTCTCTGAAAATTCCTCAGATGCTCACTAAGCCAGCATTTGGATACTTGATATGACCCAGAGTTCTAAAAACTAGATTACAACAGCATTGATCATTACTTTGCCTGCTTCCTCCACCCCTTTCCTCTCTGCCACCTTACCTTAAGGAAACCAGAGCAGAAGAGCAAGGTGAGGCCAAGGAGACGAATGTGTTCTAAGAATTGAAATGGGATTTTTTTTTTTAAGCTGAAAGTGACTGAAGAGCTATGGGGTTTGTCTAAGGGCTTGTTCAGAAGGTGGGAAGGGAGATCCAGCAGGGCATATTTGAAGACATCTATGGAAGAAAAATTAAATTCTTTACTGAATGTACCTGGGTGTTTTGCCCATTCAGTGTACCAGTTAGAAAAATATAAAAATAATATATGTTAGATGCATATATTTAAGTGTGGATTATTTTTATACTATAAACAGGCCTGGAAGGGGAGAGTGAACTTAACAGAATGAATCTGGTGGTATGGATAGCCAGAAGCCAGGGTTTGAGGGGAGAATGATGAACGTAGAGCCAGGGGAGGCATACCTAGAGTCAAGAAACAGACGGGAGGTTCCTGTCTGGGCATCTCCAAGTACCCCCACAAGATAAAGAACCAGTCTTTAGGTATGCAGCTGAGGAAGGGCTATGATTTCAGTGTACAACCGTGGCGTGAATGATCTTCACTGTCCTTTCCTCCCTTTCGTTCAGTCTTTTCCTTTCTCACTCATACACACTAAATTCACCCACACTAGAAGAACTAGAGGTGGCAGCATAGTGAATGAGGGAGCATCTGTAGTTAGGAAGAGAGGAAATCAATTCCTTTCCCTATTGGAGACTTCCAACCCTGAATTAGGTTTGAGCTAGGATAGTGGGAGGAAGAATTTCTTATGAAATTAGAATAAAATTTAATTTGGGTCAAACATTTTTCAGAGAAAATTCGATACTGAGAATGACCAGAAATGTCATTTATGAGATCTGATCAAGATTTCATCCAGGGAAAGAGAAAAATGAATTGTCAGAATTTGTTTAAAGGGAAATGGTGAGAGAGAATAAGTTGCCTCCTGTTCCTACTCTGTAGAGTCCAGCTGCTTTAGTAAACTGAAAACAAGGTAGGAAGAAGTTTCAACCCTTCCCTACTTTTCATGGGTAACTCCAAATGAAACCTCTGCACAGGACAACTTTGTAGCCATCTTGCTCTTCTCTCCTTTCTGTACTGTGTAGACACAACTTCCTGAAACAGAGTCATAGCCAAACATGATTAGCCCCATGGCTTGGTTTTTTCTCTGTAAGTATTTGATGACTAAATGTAAGCACACAGGGTATTTTAGAAAGTACCTTTAAAGGTATTTTAGAAAGTACTGTTACCTGGGTTGGAGATGGGACAAATACCTAGAAATAGTACATGTCAGAGACTGTAGTTTTCATTAATTAATGCATATAGCCAGTGAATAACTGAACTACTTGAGACTCATAGATTCTCTTCCTAGTGTGAGAACTGATAAGCTAAGCGGAAAAAATAGTCCTGTTCCTGCAGGCAGCATTAAAAGAATGCCTGCAGGATACCAGAAATAGGGTCTAGACTGCACGTGTGGATATGGAAGGTATCTATTGGCACACAAATTAATGGTGCAGAAGGCTAAGGATACTATCCTCATTTAAGCAGAACTAAAGGACAGTGCCATCATAGGACATATGGTAAAATTCTGCATCCTGGGAGAAAAAGGAGTGTTTATTTACTTGGAGACTCAAAAGAAGAATATGAAATGAAAATTATAAAGCAAATGAGGATTTTTTAAAAAATCTGCTTAGTGTTTTGAATAACATTCAAGATGAGAGTTTAGCTATGAAATAGAAGCTGAGAGCTTTAAGGAAAGAATAGGCTTGTCATTAAACGAGAGCTGTTAGTGGAAGGTAGTCTGTGAAACCATCTAGAAGTGTATAGAAAAGAAGACAACAGATTGAACCCTAAAACTCTTACATTTAAGAAGTACATTTCATTGCTACCTTCTAATTATAGACATTTTCCCAGGCATCTACTGTTTTCATGAATCCACTCTCACAATTAGCAGTTTCAAGCACACTACCTTTCTGCGTATGACTACCAAATCTTTAACTCAGTTTCTTTCACTCTTCAGACTCCTATTTCTCACTGCTATGTACTTCTCCTTGAACACTACACAGACACCACAAATTCTGCAGATAAGTCAAAATAATAATTGCCCTTCAAGTTATTTTCTTTTTCTAACTTTACTTTTTTTGATGGTACCACCATCCAGTCATCCAAGATTAAGAAAGCCCAGACCCATTTTAAGTTCACCTCCTCCTCCCCTTGTTATACCAAACCCTCTAATTAACAGTGACATGCTCCCCTCTGAAAACGCTTAGTGTGGGCACTGTTTACATCCAACTTAGACTAATGCAGTAGCCTCCTAACTGGGTTCCTCTTCCATTATTTTGCTTCATCCTTCTTCATTTTTGGCCGTCGTTTCCCTATATACACTCCACATTGCAGCCAAATCACAACCTGCTATCTGATATTCTTTAAATATCTCCAACCCTCTTGTATTTATATTTGTTTTAATTCTTCTGTGTCCTCACCACCACCCACCCATCCACCCTGCCACAATCTCCTCCTTGCCTTCTCCTTGAACAATTTAAATCCATTTCAGGAGCCTTTTCTTTATTTCATTTAAGACCAAGCTTTTTTTTTCTTTCTTACAACATACCACATTTTGCCTCATAATCTTTGTACTTCTCTACTTGCTTTACTTTCCCAGGGCTCCCTGAAGGCAGGGGCAGTATCTTACTTAGCATTGTATCTGTTGTAGACCTAAAATGCTAGCGTGGACATAATCAACAATCCATTATTTATTACAACAAATCCTCCAAAGGATTTTCCACTTACCTGAGTATTGTATCTCACACCTGGAAAATTAATACTCTAGAAGAAATATGAATTCTTATGCCATGAGGAATCTCATGATTTCATAGGCTCTCAATTTTCATAACTGGTTTCTGTTAGGAAAGTTAAATTTACCACCAAAAACTTTCAAGTGATGACATTAAATGAAACAGAAATTCTTTGGTTTTGAAAGGAA